AACTCAGCGATCCGGGCCCAGTTGGGGCCGCACCGTCCGTCTCCTACTGGAGCTTCAGTATCAAGGGAGCACAGTGCAGAACGGCTGTCCTCAACAAATTCTGTAGTTAGGCAAGTGTTGCCCTCTACTGACTCTGAGCTACAGCACACACAGCAGGTTGGTTGCATATTGTGGAATTGGTGTATGAAAGTAGTCTGTTTTTCATGTTAATTATCTCAATTTTGTTTCTAATAATTCTGCCTTTACATCTCAAAATTGTGACACAGCTGTTGAAAAGTTTGTGATAGTAAGATTTTTTTTAAATGTTTTTGAAAAAAGTCTATAATGCTCACCAAGGTTGCATTTAGTTGATCAAAAATACAATAAAGACAGTAATGTTGAAAAATTGTATTACCATGTAAAATAATTTTAAATAATTCCAGTTTTAAGTGTCACATGGGCCTTTAGAAATGATTCTAACTTGGTGATTTAACTACAGAAAGTGCTTTAAATATTTGTGCTTCTTATTATTTTTGTGGAAACATGATACAATAATTCATCTAGGATTCTTTGAATTTAAAGTTTAAAAAACAGCATTTATTTGAAATTAAAATCTTTGGTAACATTACAAATGGTGGACAGGAACAAAGTATGTTTACTTGAGTACTGTACTTTTTGAGGATCTGTAATTTACTTGAGTATTATTTTTCTAGAAACTTTTTACTTTAACTTCACTACATTTGATACTTTTTACTCCACTACAATTGATGATTTTGGTTTGCAGGGGTTGCACTTTGGTTTGAAATGAAAGTCGGGTTGACGTCAGAACCTGACTGATGTTGGTTTCAGACATCAACTCGATTTTCATTTTCAACCAAAATACAACGGATATTATTGAATGCACTTATTCAATCTCACATTCAATCCCACTACTGGAACTGTCTATCTAGAAATAAATTTGATTTTGATATGAGGGTAGGTAGGCAGTCATAGATTCAGAGGCATAAGGTACTGTAAGTTTTATATACAACAATGCAACAATATAAAACAATGCATTGACATTTACTTTATACTTTTGGTACTTAAGTACTTTTAAAAACAAGTACTTCTGTACTTTTTACCCAAGTAAAAATCTTTACAACTTTTACTAGTAACATTTGACCAGTAGTATATGTGTTTTCACTCAATGAAGTTGTGTACTTTGTCCACCTCTGCACTTTTGAATAATTTTATACATCTATGTTGAATATAGTAGTTAATTTCTTAATTGTGGAGAATGAGATGTAAAGGCACATTTAAGAGCAATAGTCACAATTGCATATTTATACTCTTGTGTGTATATATAATGTTTAAAAGTGGTCGTTTCTTTCATTGACATCTTTTTTTGTTCAGTCTGTTTGTGTAGAGAGATCCTCAAGAATGGAGATAGAACAAAAACTGCAGGAGTTGAACCGTCAAAGTGCCGAAGCAAGAGCTAGACTACTAGAGCTCATTGAACAACAGAAGCAGAGCATTTCCCCTGCCATTTCCCCAGTACCTCCTCACTCCAGCAGCACTCATACATGTGTGTGTTTAAATTATGCTTACATCATCTCTTAACCTTCAAAATGACATCTATATGATGACTATTGATGTCTTACAGTTGTTAGGGGGATTACTCCAGAGCAATTTGTAACACTTCCTGAGAGAAGCCATTCACCACAATCCAGTGCAAGCAGTCGAAGGTGAGTTATGAAAAGCCAATGAAGAGCAGATTTGCTTGTAACATTTGATATTTTCAGCTTGGACTCAGAAAAGCGGCTTAACTGTGCCAGTATAATTACTAGGCACATTCCAAATTGGTGAGTTGTTTTTACACCAAGCTAAGTGACATTTCTAATGCTCTTTTCTTAGGTCGGCGGGAAGAGCCTCACCACAAAGTTTAGATAGTGTGGAAATCCAGAGCATTGAGAACCAAGTATGAGATATCATGTTTAATTCACAAAACCATCTATATTTAGTTGTTTTCTATCAATAACAAGTTATTAATTTGACATATCCATGTTGCAAACTTGTCTTTTATTTCTGACAGGTGGAAAAGCTTAAAAGAGAGGGGTGGTTTGCATTGTCATCTCATATCAAGTGACTTCACAAGGAATATCGTCTGCATAATAGCATTCCAAATATAATTGACATCCCTAGTTTGGTTTTAATCACATCCTGGCTGCACACGTGTAATGCTCATGTTAAAGATTCTGTGATGCCTTGTGGGCCTGCCTACGCATAGGAACTTGCACAAGGTAACAGGTGTTTGTGTCATCAGACAACAAACACTAGATGACATCAGTCTTCTCTGCAGACGGTTTAACCTAGTGTGTAATCCTCATATGACGTATTTCATATGAAGTAACTTTATTTTATGCATTGTTTTTATTTTTATTTTTAAAAGAAGTGCACAATGCCACAATAAATTTTAGATAATTAAATGTTTTGTGTTGTTTTTTTATTTCACATTTTTATAGACATTTTTTTTTCAGATTTTGAGGACTTACAAAAAGCAAAGCAAAAGTAAAGAAATGTAACACAATTCAATCCAATAGGAATTGACATTTCATTGAATATTCAAGCAACAAGTTAGTTTGTAACACTAGTATGTAAACAAAACTAAAGTCATTTTTTTACCTGATTATTGATTGATTTTTTCAGTAGCATAGCACCATATAAACCACTTAACAATGGGAGGAGTTGATTTTAAATGGAGTTAGAAATGATTTCAGTTTACAATTTATATGCCATTTACCTATTCTTTTTATACTGTAAATAAGAAAGTGTTATTCACAGTTTTTAATCACCTTTTGTTTCTGCACTTTAAATAGCTAAAAAAATTATTTTTAAAAGTACAGATATTCCATGTAATCTTTAATACAAGGTCATAAAATGAATCTATAAATGTTAAAAAATATTCTTTCAAATACTTTTAATGAATTTCAGCATGCCCGTAGCGTTACCCATATTTTTAGTCTACGTCACAGTCCCTATGTGGCACAGCCCACAGCCTTCCACTCCTATAAATGAATTTGACCTCACACTCTAAACCGTTAGTCTTGACTTTAAAGCAGCAGCCTTCATCTCGGAGCTGAGCGGAGTGTCTCTGAGCCAGCGCCTGTAGCTCATCCCAGCTGGCTCCTTCTCCCTCTCTGACCCACACTTTCCCAGCAACCTCGACCAGAACGTTGCCACCGCACCACTGCATGTCACGCAGCCCCTCTGCCTTGAGCAGATACATGCATGCGCAGCGTGGCGCGCGCACCTTAAAACGTCCCCTCTCCTCTTCATAGCAAAGGCAATGCAGTCGAACCAGGAAGGAAGTGGGTTCTGATGTGATAAAACGCAAGATCTCCTCCACCCCATTATCGATGGCGACAGGCCCGTGAACCCTGTTCACAGAAAACAGCTTTGCGGGGCCGATTATCCGTACCGATTCCAGAATGAACTGGAAGTTGTGTTGCTCTCCGAGTTGTAAGTAGCTCTGCAATTCGGATAGGGTCTCCTGGTGCAGCTGCATGAGAGAGCCCAGGCCCAGCTGCGCAGGATTAAACTCCAACACAGAAAGCAAGCGATGTCGGACTCCAGCGTCAAAGGCTTCGGAGTTAAAAGCAGGACTTGACAAGACAGACCGCACGTGTTGAGTGACTGTAGCAATGGAGGCGTTTGAAAAGTCAATGGTGGTTCGTGTGGGCTGCACCACTTCTAGGAGACGCGCGATACGAACACAAGCCTCCACATACTGTCTAGCTAGAGGGGTTGCATCCTGGTCTGAGAAGATGGATGGTACCATGCTGCTGAGAGCTTTACGGATGACCCGCGCAGAGACGCCCTGGAAGGAAGTGACCCGATGAAGCCTGCTGGGCCTGCAGGAAAACAGCCCCTCGACTGAAGAGGACAGCTGGAGGCCTTCCTGGAGGGGATGCAGGTCTCGCAGCACCTGAGCGAGGACTCTCACGCTTTGCAGCAGACTCTCAGCGTCTCCTTCAGTCCAGCACTGCTCCACTTCCTGCAGCAAAGCAGCCTCCACTCTGCCGCTGGCACTCAGCTGCTCGATCATCCCTAGTATGCCTCCGCTAGGTTTCGCCTCGGGCTCCTCCAGAACTTCTGCCATGCAGTCCCACACCAGAAAACTGAACATGGCCCACACCGTGCGCTGATCCGTGCAGTCACCAGGACACAAATGGTCCCAGCTGCGTAAGTGGTCCTGGTCGTGCAGGTGGTCCCAGCTGTGCAGGTGACTGTGGATCCCACTGCGGAGGAGAGTCTCAGCCTTTTGCAGCAGACTCAACAGAAGACACCCCCTCTCAGAGAGCTGGACCCCTACAGATGACATTCATGATGGTTACATGTGGTTATGAGCCATTTTCAATAAAAGATTAAATGTATTGTCATGTGGTGTAACTATCAAATAAAAAGAGCTTACACCTTCAATACATGTACATGTTAATCATTATTTTCAAAACAAATTAAAATCATTTCTTAAGGTTTTAAATATTTGTATCATTTTATTCTTCTATAAAAGATTGTGCCAACCTACTTATGGTTTCTTCTCAAGAATGTTTAATGAGACTTAATTATATCAGGACAGTTGTATCACCCTGACATTTGTGACTATACCCCCAAAAAATATTTTGATTTATGAATTAGAAATGAATCATAAGAGGCATATTAAATGCATTTGAATGTATGCATTCGTATGTATTGCATGTAAATGATCCAGACAAAAGAAAATGGTGTTATGTCATTGACCTATAATCACTAGACCTTTCTAAAGATAAAATCGTTTTTAATGCAGAGAAAGACTTGTCTGTTGGAAACAGTAAAGGAAGAAGAAATACAACTTTGTATCTGGTTTGTCACTTTAAAAAAAACTTTTGCTGATAATTTACTCACCCCCATGTCATCCAAGATGTCCAATCAAGAGGTCTAATCAAGCGAAACGATCGCTCATTTAAAAAAAAAAATTACATTTTATAAGCACGAATGCTCGCCTTGCTCTGTTCTGGCGATGAGCGTTCGTGACTCTCCTGTTCAAACTCGTTCATCAAAATGAACAAATCTTTTTTTGTGTCATGACTCGAAGGGACCTAGATAAGAACCTTATTCATCGTCTGGTGTCGTTTAAAGCCCTTTGAAGCTGCACTGAAACTCTCATTTGGACCTTGAACCGTTTGGTTCCCAATGAAGTCCATTATATGGAGAAAATCCTGAAATGTTTTCATCAAAAACGTTAATTTCTTTTCGACTGAAGCAAGAAAGTGACATGGGGGTGAGTAAATTATCAGCAAAAGTTTTGTTAAAAGTGAACTACTCCTTTAAATTCTGTCATCATTGTCTCATCCTCACGTAGATCCAAACCTATGTGACTTACTTTCCTCTGTAAAACACAAAAGAACATATTTTGAAGAACGTTGATAAGTTTTAGTGACTATTGACTTTCCTTGTGTAAACAAATTTCTCAAAATATCTTCTTTTATAATCCACAGAAGAGAGAAAAGCCATGAGGAATGACATGAGGGTGAATAAATAAATAAAATAAGTACATTTTTATTTTAGGTAATTTATGTCTTTAAAAAAAAGATTATGGATCAAACAGAATATGAGTTCGAGCCCAAGATGGATCTCTCTGGATTGGATTGGCCATGACTTACACTGAGGGCTGAGTTCCGCCACTCTGCTCAGTAATCTGCCCGCGTCCTGCGTCTTCTCCATGTACAGGGACACTAGAGCCTCCAGCTGGGCTGAGTCTTCTATTGCGACGCCTTCGAGAAGGTATTCTCTGACCGTCCGACGCGGCAAACCCACCGCCACACCAACCTCACAGACATTAAACCTAATCTCATCCCCCACAGTCAAGCCCAGCTGAGCCATGACCTGCTGCAGGCCTCCTGATGGAAACAAGACCAGACATGGACAACATCAGTTCGGCAAACATGACATTCATTTTGGAGCCCCAAGTTAAATTTTCATATTCATTTTCAAGCCCCTTCCCCTTTAACCGCTAATAGGTAGTATGCTGAGCCCCCCCTAATGCGATTTCAACCGAGTGGAACCGTTTGAAATATGAATCACCTGACAGAGGTAAAGCTGCCCTCAGGTGACCTCTGGTTTCCTCCACTGCTATCTGCACGCTGTTGCCTTCAGACTCTTTATTAAAGTCTTCCACCAAACTATTCACTGAAAAATACAAAATTTGAAAGAAAAATTGGTGACTGATTTTCCTAGCTGAAATAACATTAAGAGTTCTAACAGATGCTAATTACTTTTTCTGTTGCATAATAATAATAATTATTATTATAATATTGCATGCATTTAGATCTCCATTTAGTTAACAGTTCTAATGACCATTAAGTTCCTCGGCTAGCTGTTGGTCCTCATTTTTCAGCGCTGTGTAAAAGCTCTTGCATGCTTTTTCTCCTTTCTTCAGGCAGATGGACAGCAGGGTTTTTGCTTGATTGGTTGGAATATGTATGGCTTCGATATTCTCCATCTCCAGCTGAGTCAGAATGCCTTTGGAGAAGAGATCGTAGGAGACGGGAAGAACAGAACAGCCCAAGCGTGAGCTCAGGACACTAAACAGAGCCTGTAGATGACGTTCTGCAAGGAGACATGACAATGGTGAGGGCTGGGAGACATTTACATGAACATTTAGTAAAAGTGAAAATGCTGAGAATATGTAACGTCCTACCTGTTGGACTTTGCTGAACAACTGTTGATTGGGACTGATCTAATATGAGATAAGAAAACGTTTCAGTATTTATGTCATGCTACTGCATTTGTGCTTTAAGACTTTATGAATGATATATAATACCTTCTTCTGTCAACCAGGTTCGTAGACGCGGATAATGCCTCTTGCATTTCTTCAGACACTCCATGAATCTAGAGGCACCGTTTTCGTCCATCTGAGCGTCAACAATCTCTAGAAGTTTTCGGGCTTTGTTGGGCGGTGTTCGCTCAGCTTCAATTTCATAACAGTTTTCTCTAGAGAGCAGCCCTACAGATATAACACAGTCTAACAGAGGACCCAGGTGATACAGGGCATCCACCAGAAGCATCTGTGAAGACAGGAGCCGGGCCTTCACAGCTGGTTTCTCCTCTGGTTCTGTAGGGAGAGTGGGGTAAGATGAGCCATTGTTTACCCTTAGATTTCAGAATGGTTCCTATCAATTAAAATGATAAGACAGACGTATAACTTTAAAAGTTCTCCAGGACCAGTATATCTATATAAATACCTATAGATATGCTGGTCCTGTGTATATATATATATATATATATATATATATGAAACAACTTTACATGAAAACATTATGATAGATAGATAGATAGATAGATAGATAGATAGATAGATAGATAGATAGATAGATAGATAGATAGATAGATAGATAGATAGATAGATAGATAGATAGATAGATAGATAGATAGATAGATAGATA